CCCAGCCCTGCCCTGGAGAGAGGCAGCTCTTCCCAGCGCTTCCTGCTGGTCCCCAAGCTGAGGGAGGGAGATGCACTGCTGATCCCTTTATGACAGGAGTCGGCAAACCTGCTGTAAAGGGCCGAGAGTGAAGATTTAGGTCCTGCAGGCCGTATGGTCTCCACTGCAGGGACTCAGCTCTGCCGTGAGAAAGCATCGTGGACAATGCTGGTGCCGGGGTGTGGCCGCGGCCGGGAAGCGGTCTGGCCTCTGCCGTGTGAATTTCATGTGTCACCAAACCGTAACCTTTTGACTTTTCCTCCAGCCACTGGACAAGGGTAGAAACCATCCTCAGCTTCACGCAGGAACAAGCAGAGGCACAGAGTTGGCGCCCGGATTACAGAACGTGTGCTTCTGATTGTACAACAGGATTTCTTGAGTCCTTGATTTTGATTCAGCTGACTTGGCTGTGTCTGTCATGGAGTCATTGTTCCTCTAGTGCAGCGGTTCTCAACCTGTGGGTTGCGACCCCTTTGGGGGTCTAATGACCCTTTCACAGGGGTTGCCTAAGACCATCGGAAAACATATATAATTACATATTGTTTTTGTGATTAATCACTATGCTTTCATTATGTTCAATTTGTAACAATGAAATTGGGGGTCACCACAACATGAGGAACTGTATTAAAAGGTCGCGGCATTAGGAAGGTTGAGAACCGCTGCTCTAGTGAGATTTCAGTGCTGGAAGGAGAGCCAGACCCTTAGCTCCTGGCAGCCTGCCCGCCTGCAGGCCCCTCTCTCCTAGGGTTGTTGTTTTGTTGGTTCCCTTACTCCATCTTCCCAACGGCCAGCACCCAGTGTGCTGCATGTGTGGTTCTTTACTTTGTGCGTTTCTTTTCTTGTTGTTGCTGTTTAAAGTTTATTTTTGCAGGGGTGGCTCTCACAGACGTGCATTCCTGGGTTCGGTGGGACATCTTTAATTGATGGAAGTGTATTGTGTTGCGGCGCTCATTCTCACTTTCCGCTCAGCACTGTGTCTAAAAGGTGATCCTCGTTGCCACGGGAACAGCGAGCCGTTGCTTCTAACTGTGCGCAGGGCTCCGTGGGCAAGTCCACCTCCTCTTCTTTTAAAAAAGAAGTTTCCTGGGGTGGTAGCATGTTTTGAGCTTGTGTGTATTTGGAAATATAAATGATAATTACTGCACAAGAGAAGTATCTGTAAAAGTCCTGTGAAAATATTCCCCCCTCCATATGTGCATTTTTTTCTGTTCAG